CTACATCATCCAGCCCATGGGACTGCAACCCATCATGGTGTACTGTGAAATGAATGAGGCAGATGGGGGCTGGACCGTGATCCAGAGGAACCGGCAGGGCACGGATATCACCTGGGCCGAGTCCTGGAGCACCTACAAGCATGGCTTTGGGAATGTGCACACTGAGTACTGGCTGGGCACTGAGTATATCCACCAGATCACCAGGCAGAAAGTCTACCAGGTCAGGTTTATCATATGGGATGCTGCAAACAACAAAAGGTTTGCAGACTACAACCTGTTCAGCCTGGATGATGAGTCCCAGGGCTACAGGCTGAGGCTGGGAGCGCACTCAGGGACAGCAGAGGATGCCATGGATTCAGATAATCCTAGGAAAGTGCACAACAACATGAAGTTCTCCACAAAGGATCGGGACCAGGACACTTACAGAGGGAACTGTGCCTCCCGCTATGGGGGTGGGTGGTGGTACTCAGCGTGTTACTCCGTGCGGCTCAATGTCAAGGGAGCCATCACATGGGGCAGGCTGTGCAAGGGGAACTGCAGAGCCTCAGCCATCCTCATCAAACCTGCTCCATACCACTAGCACTCCTTCCTTCCTCAGTCCAAGTGGCCAGGCCAGTGTCCTGCTGGGGCCCATTTGCTGATGGGGAGCTGGGTGTGAATAGAGCTTTTCCTGTATATCAAGAGCTGCTTTGCTTTCCACTTATCCTGAAAAGTAGCAAAGCTCCCTGCTCTGTCTCTGGCCATTCACCTGTGGTGGGTTTTGGGGGATCATTATTAGAACAAGTCTTTATTGATGCTGCAGTGTCCAAGCATGTTCCTTCTTGAGGGGGGAAACTATGCTCAGAAACCTAATGCCCTCCAGATCCAGCAAGGTCTTATTCTCTTTTTGCTTTGTGAGTATAGATGCTTTGAGCAGAAGATTATCCATCATCACTAGCTAAGCTGACCTATGATGTGCTGAGCCCAGGGCAGGCCATGTCTGCATCATATCCCTGCTGCAGTCTGTATTCATCCTGCAGAATAAAATCACTTTCAGAACCTGCACAGATGTCTTTTGTTTGTTTGGGAACTTTTTGCAACTGCTGCCAGTTTCCTGCCAGGAACAAACCTGAGGCTCCTGGTGCAGTAAAAACAGGTTTTCAAAGGGGAGATTTTTCATAAGATTCAAGCAAGAAACTAAAGATAAAACTTTCACTTAAAAAAGAGAGTTGGGTTTCAAGGTGGAGATCTTCCAAAAAGGCAATGCAGTAGCACATGGCCAACAGCAAGCACTGAGGGTGGGAGGGAAACGTCTGGTGTGACATCTGCCAGCTGTGATTTGGAACTCACCAGGGACCACAGGCCAGGCCAGTGTCAGAGTGTCTCATCAACCTTGTGAACACAGGAAGAGAACTGGAACAGGCAAGAAAAGAACAAGAGCACTGCAAGGCCACACAGCACCAAGTGGTTGGTATATCTGGGCAGGTGTAAGAGCTGAGGCAGCCTGTCATGGCAGGGATCCCAGAACGTCAGGATTCTGGGTCAGCTTGGGTCCATATGGGCTTGCTCCGGTGTGGTGTTATCTGTGCACTGGCCAGATCAGCAGTGGACAAGATACCTGTGGCATGGTCTCCTAGTGCTGAGCAGAGAGGGGGATGTCTGGCTGCACTTTTGCTAGCACAGCCTGAGATGCAGCTCAGTATCACTGTGCAGAGGTGCAGGATTGGCTCTGGGGCAGAGTGCTGTTTACCAGCAGCCCCAAGGCTTTGTCCAGCCTCTCCCCTCCCATTAGGTTGTACATCCAGGCTGGAGTCCCTATGGCTTTTAAAACCAGCAGATCTATCTCCTAGTCCAGAAGCATTACTCTCAAGTCAGCTCCAACTGGGAAGCCTTTCTCAACCAGCAGCACCCTCATACCTCCATCTCCCCATGCAGCAGTGCTGCTGTTCTGGTTTGAGCTGAAGTAGAGTTAACTTTCTTCACAGAGGCTAGTATGGGGCTATGTTTGGGTTTTGTGCAGAACACAGAGTTGATAATGCAGAGATGTTTTTGCTATTGCTGAGCAGAGCTTACATAGAGTCAAGGCCTTTGCTGCTTTCCATACTGCCACACTGGCAAGGAAGTTGGGGATGCATGGGAGATTGGGAGGAGACACAGCTGGGACAGGTGACCCAAATTGACCAAAGGGATATTCCATACCATTTGACATCATGCTCAGTATATAGGGTGGGAGGAAGAAGGAGGAAGGGGGGACATCTGGAGTGATGGTGTTTGTCTTCCCAAGGAACCGTTACGCGTGATGGGCCCTGCTCTGCTGGAGATGGCTAAACACCTCCTGTCTTCGGGAGCAGTGAATTAATTCCTTGTTTTGTTTTGCTTGTGTGTGCAGCTTTTTCTTCCTCTATTAAACTGTCTTTATCTCAACCCATGAGTTTTTGTAGCTTTTACCCTTCTGATTCACTCCCCCATCCCCTTGGTGGGGGAGTGAGTGAGTGGCTGCGTGGCTCTTGGCTGCTGCCTGGGGTTAAACACCCTCAGGTGCCTCCAGGGCAGCCAAGGAGTGCTCCTCAGGAGCTCCATAGCTCTTTAGGAATATGGTACTGCCACAGCTCTGCAGAGTGCCCTGAGGCCTCGGTCCGGAGTCCCATTTGTTCAGCATTCCCAGACACAAGCCTTCCTCAAGCTCAATTTTTCTTCCAAAGACTGAGGAGAGGAACTGTGGGTTCTTTCAAGCCCCACGTTCAAACTTTCCTCCATCACAAGGGAGCCCCATAGATACATCCCCTCTGCAGCAGGGAATAATGGGATGATGTATCTGCATCACTCACACCCTGTCCACACTCCAAGTTATGATGGTTTCTTCCCTTTCCCAGCACAGAGGAACCACCCGGCCATGGACAGGGGCAAACTATGAGTGAAGGTTTTGAAAGACATGGGCTTTGCTGGACCTGTTGGCTAACTGTAGCCCTACAGCCACAGACCAGTGCACAGTGGCTGGAACAAGCCATTGGAAGGAAAATTGCCTAACACACTTACTTTCCCCCAGGTCTGCCACCCTGAAGACTGGACCGAGTGATCCCCTCACACCTGTGTGCAGGTAGACACAAGGCAGCATAGTCTGGCTCCAGGGTTTATTGCAGCTGATTCCTCTCACCGTGGGTAGCAGAGCTGTGGGGTGCATGGGGCCTGGGGAGGGAGAGGGGCCTGAGCAAAGCAGAGTACATGGACTGTGCAGGGAAGGGAACTGGCACTGTGTCCTCCTCACCAGGATGGGAGCAGGTGCACCCACCCCAAACCAGTGCCTGTGCCCCAGTGCCAGCCAGCACCACGGCACTGGGCAAAGCTACCTGCACATCCAGGGCTCTGAGCAATGGCCCCTGAGCCCCAGAGCCACTGTGTTTCAGTTGTTGAGGGCGCAGGAACTGCAGGCAGTGCAGGATGTGCACAGGGACTGGCATGGGGCAATAGGCAGGCATGGGAATGGGACACTGAGCTGAGGATGGGGGCACCCCCACACTCCAGGGGTTTTGGGATATGCAGCATGGTCAGCACACGTCTGTGGGTTTGACCAGGATGAGGGAGGATGCGCAGTCACCGTTATCGCAGAACCCTGGCCAAACGATGTAGTTTTTGGCATTGAGCAGGACATTCTGGCACCTGCTGTACCACCACCCCCCATAGCTCTTGGCGCAGTTCCCGCTGTACTGGTCCTGGTCCTTGTCGACCGTGCTGAACTTCATGTTGTCATGAATCCCTCCCTTCTTGGGGTGATAGAGGGTCAGGTAGTCATCCCCATCCCCAGAATGCCGTCCCAGCCTCAGTGGGTACCCGCTGGCCTCGCTCTCCACCCTGAAGATGTCATACTCAGCGTAGTGGGTGACATTGGTTTTGTCCCTCACAACGAAGCGCACCTTGTAGGTGCCCTGCTGCGTCAGCAGGTGCAGGTACTCAGTGCCCAGCCAGTAATCACTGTGCACATTGCCAAAGCCATACTTGTAGGTGGTCCAGGATTGCTTCCACGTCAGCTCAGTGTCATGAGAGTTTCTCTGGACAACAGTCCAGCCCTTGCCTTCGGTGTCCATGTCGCACCAGACGACGCGCGGTGGGGACCTGGCCGGCTGGATGACATACACCCCACTAGGGCTGTTCTTGCGGAGGTGGCTGCAGTCCACGGGGAAACCTGAGGCTGCAGCAGCAAACATGGATTGGGGAGGGAGAGAGAAGGATCATATGAGTCTGTCAGGGCAACAAGGAGCTCCTGTAGAGCGGTGAGGACGCAGAACAAAAGGGGGAGTTCTGTCTGTGGCTTTTCCACTGGCTCATCCTCAAGGAACCTGAAGGTCTCTAAGCCAGTGGCCTCTGTAAGAGTCCTGAAATCTGTTTCTCATGATTTGCTGTTTCATTTGGAGCCTTTTAATGCATCTGGACAAGGATAGAGTGGGGAAAAAGTCTTCCAGATGCATGATGTCCTCCAAGTATATCTGGCCTGCACACAAGGCTCTTGAATACTGAGCTGCAGCACTTGCAAGGACCAGAAGTGTCCAAAATGTTCCACTAGATGAGGATATGTAACAAAAACTTGTTTCCTCTGGGGCCATGGCATTGCAAAAGAAGGCTAAGTACTACCTTGGTCCCATAGGGATCTCTCCTCCCAGCCTGTTGCAGACCTGATCTGTTGTGACTTACTGGCAGAATTCATGTGCTGTCTAATTTAGTTTTCTTGTTCTGATGAGGGACAATTTGCTATGGGTAATTCCAATTCAACCCATGAAACTGTTTTAATCAGGCACTCAGGTCTTGCATGGAGGAAAGGAATACTCCTAATCCAACAAGAGGTAAACAAAAAGAAATGCTGGAAGGATCTCTCCTGGAACTGAGGTTCACGAGCACGGCAGAGCAATGCTGCCAAGCTGTGGCGTTTGGGCAGGGTCCCCTAGGTTTCACCATGGAGCCACCAAGGGGGTGAGGATGGCATTGCAGAACTCAGGCTGTATAAGCTACGGCCCTGGGAGTTGTGTGTGTTTTGTGCTGTGCATCCCATTGGGTGGGTGTTTTCTAGCCTTCCTAGCACACAGCAGACCCAAGAGTCAGCCTGAGCCAGGGACACACCATCCTGCTCTGCCCCTTGGTGCCAAGCCAGTGCCCCCCACCCACCCACCCCCTACTCACCACTCCGGGAGCT